GAGAGAGAGAGAGAGAGAGAGAGAGAGAGAGAGAGAGAGAGAGAGAGAGAGAGAGAGAGAGAGAGTCCCTCAATCTCTCTTGTTCTACGTGTGAAGATCACACCAGTGGTGATGGTAGAAGGTAGAGGTGAGAAAAAACCGCACCACAACTAAAATTAATCGTATAAACCGCAACCGCAATAAAAACCGATGGTGAGGTTTTCTGTTTTTTAAAAAACCGCAAATTTGCGATGCGGTGCGGTTATTAGTTTTTAAAAACCGCACCGCACCGCATATATTGTATAATTTTTTTTTTAAATTATTAATATATTAAATATTAAAAATAAGATAAGTTTCATAGATGAAATAAAAATAAAATTCTAGGAGACAAAATGTTGATTTTTTGTTATGTTTAACTTTGGAAAATGGTGAAATTTGACAATTTTAAGATGTTTATTGTTAATTACTAGTGATTTGATGTTTTTAAGATATTAGTCTTTTGTGATTTAAGTTAATTGTCTTATACCTTATGGTTTTTTATTATTACAAGTAATATGTTTAAACTAGGCCTGTAGAAAAAACCCGAAACCCGTTCTACCCACCCGACCTGTTCCGAATTCGGGTAGAATGGGTCGGGTAGAACGGGTAACGGGTATGAACATTCGGGTAATAGGTTAACCCAATAATAATATAGGTCGGGTTTTAGGTATGAATAATTATTTTCGGGTATACCCGAATACCCGAATTCGTTTTTTAAATAATACCAAATATACAATACAGTCACATACGCACACTTCAAATAAAACAAAATCTTTCGTTTCCTTCTTATGAACGACGGCTCGACAGTCGACGCAAACTTGCAAAGGGAATACGACGCTGAAGCTGAAGTCCTGAACCGTCATCACAATTCTCAGTTTCTCTCTATCGCACGTAATGGAATTAAAAAAGTACATAACCTATTATAATGATTTGTATTGTTATTATAGATGTACTTGTTAATTGTATGAAGTATTTTCCTACCCAATTCTTTATTAAACAAACCAACATGTAAAAAAAATATATCAATAAGTGTCATTTAAGAAATTTTCGGGTATACCCGATAATTACCCGACCCGGCCTGACCTCAAACCCGAATACCCGAAACCCGAAAACCCGAATTACAATATAGGTCGGGTATCGGGTATTATTTTCTTAAGGAAATACCCGTTCTACCCGACCCGTTCTACCAGAAACCCGAAAATTTTACCCGTTCGACACCCCTAGTTTGAACTCTTAAAACTGTTTGAACTCTAAACTGTGGTTAAAAACCACAAAAAATAATTGCACCAAATCCATGCGGTTAATAACCGAAACACAAAAAAACAAAACCGCACCGCAAAAATAACCGCCTAACCGCACCGCAAAAAATAACCGCACCAAGCGGTTTTGAAAATGGATTAACCGCATTTGCGGTTAGTGGTGAGATGTTGACCAATAATCGCGCCAAATCGCACCGCGCTCACCCCTAGTAGAAGGGTATTGTGTTGATGTGGTTAGCTTTACCCCATATGATATGCCTATTGGCCTTATGGACAAGGGCGGAGCCACCCTAGGACCAGGGTAGGCCCAAGCCCACCCTCACTTTTTTTTTTCCAAAATAAGATATAATACTTATTGATATATGCTATTTTTTCTCTGTAACTTGTATTCTTCTTTCATTTTTCATTTG